ATCGTCTGTCGGCTTTGTCTCTCGTCAATGAAGATAAGATTCGCGGGATGGCGCGCGAGATCAAGCTTCAAGGGAAGAAGATCAGTTCTCTTGAAGACGCCGTAAGCAAAGGTAAAGAGGACCTCAAGTGGGTGGCTAATGAACGGGACAAACTACTTGAGGGTCAGCGTGCCTTTGACGACGAGAGAGAGACCTGGGTTTCCGAGAAGTCAACTCTTGAGAAAAAACTTGAGGAAATGAAGCTTGCCCGAGATAAGAGTGCTGATGCGGCGCAAGTATTCGAGAATGACTTAGCTGCGGTGAAGTCGGAGGTCGAAAAGTTGCAAGCTGATCTCCTAGCGGTCAAGATGGACTCGTTGAAGAAGTTTATGCAGGGTTTTGACGCTGCTACGAGCCAAGTGAAGGTTCTTCATGCTGATATCAGCCTTGAGGGTCTTGGCTACTTTAAGGAGATCGTGGATGGCGAGCTTGTCGATCCTCCTGAGGACGATTGATTTCTTTTGATTTCCAAGTCTCTGAACGCTATTATCTTTTCTATTCCTGTTAAGTTTCTTGTACCCAATGTAGCTCTTGTTTCGAAACATTCAATAAAGTATGGTCTTTTTTGTGCTTAATTGGAAATAGTAATTTTGTCCTCAACCCCCTATGGCAAGAAGGTGTTGGTGTCTGAAAAGTTCCCAAGTTAGAACGAACGTTTTCTAAGAACCCTGATGCAATGTAACTAAGTTAAAATTGGAATTCAATGTAACCAAATTTTTTCTAAGTTAAAATTGGAATCCAACGTATCTAGTCGGCCATATACCGACTTAAAAGAATGACAATTTTTTTTAAGTTAAAATTCGAATCCAACGTATCTATTCGGCCATATGCCGACTTAAAAGAATGACAATTTTTTCTAAGTTAAAATTGGAATCCAACGTATCTAGTCGGCCATATACCGACTTAAAAGAATGACAATTTTTTTTAAGTTAAAATTCGAATCCAACGTATCTATTCGGCCATATGCCGACTTAAAAGAATGACAATTTTTTCTAAGTTAAAATTGGAATCCAACGTATCTAGTCGGCCATATACCGACTTAAAGAATGACAATTTTTTCTAAGTTAAAATTGGAAACCAACGTATCTAGTCGGCCATATACCGACTTAAAAGAATGACAATTTTTTCGAAGTTAAAATTGGAATCCGACGTATCTAGTCGGCCATATACCGACTTAAAAGAATGACAATTTTTTCTAAGTGAAAATTGGAATCCAACGTATGTAGTCGGCCCAAAACCGAGTAGGAAAGAATGATTATTCTAAGTTTCGAATGGCATTTGAATCGCGTCTCGCCCAAATTCCGAGTAAAGCAATCATTCTACGTTCGGATTATAAAGTCTTTGGACCATAAACAATCGAAACTTGAAGGAAATTTTGTTAAAAAGTCGCCTTTGAATCAAGTGATCGCCTAAATGCCGAAAACTGGGAGTATTTTCTAACTAAAAATCAAAACCGGTTGCCCAAATTCCGAGCTGGTATGGTTGAAATGTTGCAAGTAGTTGTTTACCGAAATACCACCGCAGTCGTAGGATTCCCGACTTGGAAAGTGTAAAATTTCTCCACATTTAAAAAGCTTCAAGCAGAGTAGTCGGTCGGATTCCGACTCATAAAGGGTGGAATTTTGGTCGTCAAGTTATTCGTACTTGCCCCGTCAGACTTTTGCCGACAATCATGAGTCTGTCTTTGAGTTATTTATACTCGCCCAGTCAGACTTTTGCTGACAATCACGAGTTTCAGTCTTTGAGTTATTTATACTCGCCCAGTCATACTTTTGCCGACAATCACGAGTTTCAGTCTTCGAGTTATTTATATTCGCCCAGTCGGACTTTTGCCGACAATCACGAGTTTCAGTCTTCGAGTTATTTATACTCGCCCAGTCGGACTTTGCCGACAATCACGAGTTTGTCTTCGAGTTATTTATACTCGCCCAGTCGGACTTTTGCCGACAATCACGAGTTTGTCTTCGAGTTATTTATACTCGCCCAGTCGGACTTTTGCCGACAATCACGAGTTTCAGTCTTCGAGTTATTTGTACTCGCCCAGTCGGACTTTTGCCGACAATCACGAGTTTGTCTTCGAGTTATTTATACTCGCCCAGTCGGACTTTTGCCGACAATCACGAGTTTTGGTCTTCGAGTTATTTATACTCGCCCAGTCGGACTTTCGCCGACAATCACGAGTTTTGTACCTTTAAAATAAAGCATGTTAAGAGTCATGGAAGAAATCAATGAGATGACATTTATTAGAATTGAAAGGGTGGTGCCTCGTTAAAAACCTTCTCAGCAAAAACCCCTCATATTTTTACGGGGACAAAATACTGAGTTAGGAAAAGAGTGCACCTAATACAAATGGATAAACAGACTAGCTATAGTAAAAACGCAAATTTGCAGCATTCCACGTCCTCGGTATCATCCCTCCATCCAAGGTCCTCAGTCGGTAAGCTCCTTTGCCGACCACATCATCAATCTTGTATGGGCCAACCCATTTGGGCGAGAGCTTGTTCCTCATCTGTGTTAGCTGAGCACGCCTCAAAACTAGGTCGCCTACGACAAAGTTTCTTGGATTTACCTTTGTGTTGTACTTGAAGGCTGCTGTTCTCTGGGCTGCTACTTGATTTATTCTTGCTCTTTCTCTTGTCTCTGCGATCAAGTCCAAATCAACTCGTCTTCCCTGATCGGATTCTTCTTAATAAAAAGTTGTAGTGCGCACTGAGGGCTCTGCAATTTCCATCGGGATCATGGCGTCGGTTCCGTATACCAGATTGAAGGGAGTATCTTGGGTCGTTGAATGAACAGTCGTGTGGTACGACCATAGCACTCGGGGAAGCTCTTCCACCCATGAAGCGCCTGAGTCTTGCACACGCTTTTTAAAACCTGAAAGGATTACCTTGTTGGCCGACTCCGCCTGGCCGTTAGACTGTGGGTGTTCAACGGAAGTGAATGCCATTCGGATGCCGACCTCTTTACAAAAATCCTGAACTCTCGCACTTGCAAACTGTGTCCCATTATTGGAAACGAGCATTTGAGGGACTCCATACCTGCACACCACATTCTTCCAAAGAAAAGCTCTAACCTTCTTTGCTGAGATGGTTGCAACTGGCTCCGCCTCGATCCATTTGCTGAAGTAATCTACGGCCACTACCAAGAACTTCAACTGTCTCACCGCTATCGGGAATGGGCCGAGGATATCAATGCCCCACTTGTTGAAAGGCCAAGGAGATAAGATTGAGTGAAGCCGTTCAGCTGGAGAATGGTGTAAAGTTGCGTGCCTTTGGCACCCATCACACTTCTGAACCCAATTGACACAGTCATTTCTGAGGGTTGGCCAAAAATAGCCTGCCCTCGCAACTTTGTACACGAGTGCTCGTCCTCCGATGTGGCTTCCACACATGTCACCATGCACTTCCTCCCTCACCCTTTTTGCTTGCGACGTGGGCAAACATCTCAAAAGGGGGGCACTGAAACCTCTGCGGTACAATCTCTCATTAATGACCACAAATCTGGCTGACTCTCTTTGTATCATCGAGGCCTCTCTTTTGTCCTCTAGAAACTCCCCAGAGTCAGGTATGCAATATACGGCCCCATCCACGAATCGAGCTCTTCCTGGATGAAAAGGACACTCTCCTGTGGAAAATTGATACTCGGTTGGGATAAAGTTTCCTGGATAACCAACCGAGTAGCTCCTGGCTTCTTTGTGCTTGCGAGCTTAGAAAGCAGATCGGCCCGCAAGTTTTGCTCTCGTGGGACGTGGTTGAGTGTGAACTCTCAGAAATTTTCCGAGAGGAGTTTTACCTTTTCCAAATACCTGGCTAATTGAGGGTCTTTTTCCTGGAAGGTCCCGGCTACTTGTCCGGTGATCAATTGGGAATCACTTCTAGCTGACAAGCTCGTCGCCCCCATCTCCTTTGCCAAAGCCATTCCTGCCAACAATGCTTCATACTCTGCTTGATTGTTGCTTGCCCGGAACTCGAAGCGTAGTGACTGTTCCAACAGTATGCCACCCGCTCCAGCTCCACTTCCTCCTAGGTTCGAAGCGCCATCCACCGATAGAATCCATTGTGTTTCTCCGCCTCCCCCGTCCTCAACAGGAGGGGTCAGTTCCATCAGGAAGTTGGCTAACGCTTGGGCCTTGATTGCTCCTCGCGGTTCATACTTGATTGAGAACTCAGATAGCTCTACTGACCACTTCATCATTTGGCCTGCGAGGTCGGGCTTCTGCAAGACTTGTCGAATCGGATGATTAGTGCAAATTATCACTTCGTAGCTCTGGAAGTAGTGCCTCAACTTCCTCGCAGTGACCAATATCGCGAGAGCCAGCTTTTCGATTCTCTGATATCTTGTCTCTGCTCCCTGCAAGACCCTACTTACGAAGTAAATAGAGACTTGAGAAGCTTCTTGCTCTTGCACCAGAACTGAACTGACAGCTCGGTCGTACGCCGAGATGTATACCAACAAGGGCAAGTTTGATCGCGTTTTTGTCAGGATCGGCGGGGATGCCAATGACTTCTTGAGTTCTGAGAAGGCTTCTTCACACTCGGTCACCCAAGCGAACCGGTCGTTCTTCCTCAGACATTGAAAAAGAGGCAACACTTTATCCGCTGCTCTTGATAGAAATTGGGAGAGAGAAGCCATCCTTCCTGTCAATTGCTGTACCTCTTTCACCGTAGATGGGCTCCTCATGTTGATGATCGCCGAGCACTTGTCCGGGTTCGCTTCAATGCCGCGGTGAGTCAGCAAGAAACCGAGCAACTTTCCCGCCTGGACACCGAAGGAGCACTTCTCAGGATTCAGTTTGAGCTAGTACTTGCCAATGGTGTCGAACAATTCCTGCAAGTCGCTAAAATGCCGACTGACGCTTTCTGACTTCACCACCATGTCTTCTACGTAAGCTTCCACATTCCGACCTAGTTGATTCATAAGGACTTTGTCCATCAGTTGCTGATAGGTTGCCCCCGCGTTCTTCAGACCGAACGGCATAACCTGTAGCAGAAATTGGCTTGATCGGCTATGAAGGCGGTCTTGTCCTCCTCTGCGGGATGCATTCGGATTTGGTTGTACCCCGAGTAGGCATCCATGAAGCTTAGTAACTCGTATCCCAACGCCCCATCCACCAGGCAGTCTATGTTCGGCAGCGGGTACGAGTCTTTTGGGCAGGCCTTATTAAGGTTAGTGAAGTCCGTACACATTCTCCATTTCCCGCTGCTCTTGCGCACCATGACTACGTTTGCCAACCAGGTCGGATATTGGATTTCTCGGACGTGTCCTGCCATCACTAACTTCTGCGTCTCTTCCGCGATAGCCCTTCGTTTTTCCTCGCCAAACTTCCTTCTCTTCTGGATTACTGCCTTCGCGCTAGGGTCTATGGCCAACTTGTGGCACAAGAAATTTGGATCAAGTCCAGGCATGTCGCTGGAATGCCACGCAAATGCTGACACATTGTCCTTTAGAACACTCACCAATTTCTCTTCGTCCTCGGGAGTCAAAGAGGTACCTATCTTTACGTTTCTCCCTTCCATTACCTCCACTTCCTTGACGTCTTCTGCTGGGGCGGGTCGGTGGTCGAACTGACCCATTCTAGGATCCAGTTTGACGGAATGGACCTCCTTCTCTACCTGCTTAGTGTACAGTCGCCTTCGCGCCTTTAAACTATCCCCGTAGCATTTCCGAGCAACCTCCTGGTCCACCTTGAGAACCCCTACAGCACCACTCGGCAACGGGTACTTTACCTTCAGATGGGAAGTAGACACTATCGCTCCCAGCTTGTTCAGAGTCGGCCTGCCGATCAGTATGCTGTACGATGACTGAGCATCGACCACCAAATACCGAATGACCACCATCTTCATCTGAGCTCCTTGGCCAAAGGTCGTCTCCAGATCGGCATATCCCCTTGCGATGACCTGGTCTCCTGCACTCAACATGATAGCGTGATCAAAGGAAGAAGAAGAAGAAGAAAACATGCAAAAGAAATAGCATGCATGTGTCAGAAAAAGTACATTACTTTTTCAGATAAGGACAACACTTCACAGCTACACGACTGGTAAAGGACAAAAAGGTTCCTAGATCTCTGCAAAATTTAGACAAAGTTGCTAGCAAAACGGAGAAGACTTCATGCAATATCCATGAACAGGAAGCAACATTTAATGTGAGATTGTGAACATTAAATGAAAGATCAAACTAGTCATGAATGAATATATCAGCTTCAACGGACACTTGCAACGAGAAAATTCTACAAGGACTATATCACTACCTCAAACCGAAAAAGGCTAGCTGTTTAGCTTAGACTGATTAAAGTTAAACAAAGAGTGATATCCAGCCCATGAAGCAACGAATCCAGAGATAGAGGGTAAAGAGTCAAATGTACCATAGTGTATTCATCTTTGTAGACTAAGGAGTTCCAAGTGTATCTTAGGAACATGAACCTTAGTGAGTGTACCAACTTATGTATCCTCTCTGTGAGAGTAATCCAAACACTCAATCATTGTAAGAACTAAGGTTACATACCTTAGTGAGTGTATAAACCTATTTATCCTCTCTATGAGAGTAATCCAAACACTTAAACCAAACATGTCTAGTTAATACTTGTAAAACCTGAAGAGGCTAGGGAAATAATACTTGTAAAGCCTGGAGAGGCTTGTCAAAGAATACTCACGGCGATCCATAAGTGGCTGATTAAAGAATATTAACATCAATGAGTGAAATTGATGGGCCAGGAGTTGGTCGATAATACTCACTGAGAGCCTGAAGATGCTGATCAAAGAATACTAGCACTGATGGTGAAGTTAGCAGGCCAGGAGTTGGTCGAGAATACTTACTGAGAGCCAAAAGTGGCTGATTAAAGAATACTAGCGTCAATGAGTGAAGTTGACGGGCCAGGAGTTGCTTGACAATACTCATTGAGAGCCTGAAGAGGCTGATTAAAGAATACTAGCATTAATGGTGAAGTTAGTGGGCTAGGAGTTGGTCAAGAATACTCACTGAGAGCCAAAAGTGGCTGAGCAAAGAATACTAGCGTTGACGAGTGAAGTTGACGAACCAGGAGTGGTCGTGACCTGGGTGGTCTAGAATACTCACTACTAGCCTGAAGAGGCTGATTAAAGAATACTAGGACCAACGAGTGAAGTTGGCCGACCAGGAGTGGTCGTGACTTGGGTGGTTTATAATACTCACTATGAGCTTGAAGAGAGATAAGGACAACACTTCACAGCTACACGACTGGTAAAGGACAAAAAGGTTCCTAGATCTCTGCAAAATTTAGACAAAGTTGCTAGCAAAACGGAGAAGACTTCATGCAATATCCATGAACAGGAAGCAACATTTAATGTGAGATTGTGAACATTAAATGAAAGATCAAACTAGTCATGAATGAATATATCAGCTTCAACGGACACTTGCAACGAGAAAATTCTACAAGGACTATATCACTACCTCAAACCGAAAAAGGCTAGCTGTTTAGCTTAGACTGATTAAAGTTAAACAAAGAGTGATATCCAGCCCATGAAGCAACGAATCCAGAGATAGAGGGTAAAGAGTCAAATGTACCATAGTGTATTCATCTTTGTAGACTAAGGAGTTCCAAGTGTATCTTAGGAACATGAACCTTAGTGAGTAGCTGAGGTAGTTCCCCCGCCGACGAAGCCCCCTGCGATGGTATTGAAATCGTCGTGGATGGGTTGCTGGTGGGTTTCGGTCAACTTCGTTGGCGTGTCTCTGGGAGGTGTTCTCTCCCTACGCCCATTTCAGCGGGTGTCCTCTTGTGCGCGCCTGTGTCGCCTATCCGACGAACCTCCTTCCTGTTTCCTTGCCACAAACTGCTTCAGTCGCCCTTCCTTGATCAAGCGCTCGATCTGCCTCCCTAGGACGAAGCAATTTTCAGTGGAGTGTCCGTGGGTTCTATGGAACTCACACCAATCGGTTTTAAAGGGTCCCAACTGACGCTCTGTTGTTGCGGGGAATTCAAACAACGATGCGTTGTTGACATCGTGAAGTATCTGTCACCTGGGGACATTGAGCGGAGTGAACTTTTCTTCATCATTGCTGCGTGTCCACTCGCCCCTTACCCGACCACCATGATCGGCCTGTCGGTAACCACCCTCCTTCATGTTGTAGCGGTCGCGTCGCTTATTCCAATCTGACCGTGGTCGGAGATGTTTGTTTCCCTCCTTATTGCTACCCCCTGCTTCTCGGCTCTCTGCTGCTCTTTTGCTGATCTGCCCCTCCTCCGTTTTAATGTGACTCAGTGCTAAGGCTCTCACTTCCGACATCGTCTGGCAATTCGCTCTTTCCAGTGCGACATCGAAAGCTCCAGACCTCAGACCCTTCTGGAATGCAATGACAGGCATCCTCTCGTCCAAGGATGCTATCCTCAAGGCGACCTCATTGAATCGTTGCAGAAAATCCTTCAACGAATCTTCCCTTTACTGCTTGAGATCGAACAAGTCCGACGTGATCGGTGACTTCTTCTTGTTAGCGGCAAACTGTGCCATGAAGAGCCGACTGAAAACGTTAAAGTCAGTGATGGATCGGTCAGGCAGACTGCTAAACCAGTCGAGAGCCTCCTTTTTGAGTGTCCCCATGAATAGCTTGCAACGGACTTCCATGCTTCCCCCACATATCAGCATTTGAGCCCGAAAATCCGTCAGATGTTGACTGGGATCCTGCGTTCCGTCAAAGGGTTCGACTTGCGGTATCCGATGATCCCTGGGGATGGCCTCGGCCTCTATGGCTTCCGAGAAAGGCCGAAAATCCCTAGGGAATTCCAACATGACATCCTCCTCCACCGTTCTGGTACTGGCTTCTATCCTGGCCTGCATCTCATCCGCTTGCCTCCTGATCTCCTCGTTTTCACGTTGGATGGCCTCCTCTCTCTCCCTGGATCGCGCATTCTCCTCCCTTAAGCCATTGATCATGGTCATCATCTCCTCCATGGTTGGTGGTTGCGAGTTGTTGTTATTGCCGCCTCTCGCCATGGTAGGGTGTAGGTTTTTTGTGTTTCTTGGGGCGTAGGAAAAGTTTCACCGTAGCCCCACAGTGGGCGCCAAAATGTTCCGGCCAAAGGGTGCACTAGGATTTTCTCCTAGGTCAAGCCTCAAAGCCAGAGCATTCAAAAGTGTGATCTGCCTTCTCAACTCTAGGGTTTTTGGTTTTATAGTTTCTCGCTGACGGGCCTCCTGGGCCCCGAGAATGTAGGGATTTCCTTAACTATCTAATCTAGAAAATATTTAATGGTGAGTAATGGGACCTTGTTCTTACCCTTGGGTGGCTCCCATATGCCAAGGTTAAATCGGTCTCCGACCGAGTAGGTCCATATTGAATGCACCTTCGGCTAACGTCCGAGTATGTTCTCTTGGGCAAGTGAAGTCGGTATTTGATCGATGTATCTTATCATAGAGGGTCCAAGTCGGATATATGCCGAGTGACTCCGAGAGAATGGGTCAGCCAGGGTCGTAGTCGGCCGGCAAAACGGGGAGAGACCTGGTCAGCATCCGACCGGGATGGTACACTTGCCTCCCAGTCCTAAGCCGATAAGGCGAAAGGGCTCAATGTTCAGCCCTTATGGTTTGCGCTGTAGGTTGACTGGGATACCTCCTATGCTACTTGCGTGGAGGGACCACATCGGACAAAGACCGAGCAACTTTTTAGGGATCGGGAATAGACCGACTTGGTTAATCTGGGGAAAACAAGATGGATTCCGACCGAATCACTCTTCGAAGAGTGATTGGTGAGGGGTACAGTCTAAATGGTGTGTGTGAGAGGTTGGTCGGAATCCAACCTGGACCATACACCTACATAATTAGGTTAACTTAGAAACTCGCTCTTAAATGGAAATACGCTGCGCGAACACCGATTTCTCTTATTGAGACGATAACAGATAGATCTAAGTTAAAACTTAATTTGAACATAGTAATCATCCCGGTGTCGACCTCATGAAAAGTAGGAGAAATATTTCTAAGTTAAAGAAGGCTTCTCGAGTGATCGTCCAAAATCCGACTGTACGTATAAAAAATATCCCAAGTTTCCGATCACCATAACTAAGAAGAATAATTCTAAGTTAATAAATGGGGTTCATGTCGCCCAAATCCCGACTATGAATTAAATCTAAGTCAAGAGTGAGGTTTCTGTCATCAAAATTCCGACTTCATCGAGAATGAGAAAAATAAACTAAGTTAAACTTCCAACTTTGACAATCTGATCGTTTAAATTCCAATCTTGTCAATGGTTAACGAAGCAATCCGATCCCTCTTGATTTCAAGAAGAATCTGAGTTAAAAAATTCTAAGTTAAAGACCTGAAGTTTTTGAACCAAACGTAGTCGCCCAAATGATGATCTAAATCAATTAATGCAGAAAATTCTAAGTTTAAACTTGAAGCGTTTAGTCGCCAAAATGCCGATCAGAATCAATTAATGAAGAAATTCTAAGTGTATACTTGAAGCGTTCTGAACCAAAATACAATCGCCAAAATGCCGATCTGAATCAATTAATGAAAAAATCCTAAGTTTAAACTTGTAGCGCTCTGAACTAAAAAGTAATCGCCAAAATGCCGATCTGAATCAATTAATGAAAAAATCCTAAGTTTAAACTTGCAGCACTCTTAACCAAAAAGCAATTGCCAAAATGTCGATTTGAATCTGTACCATCCTGGGCCGTAGAGATCAGAGTCCGACCGAGAATGAGCACCTAGGATAAGCCAGTCAGGGCTTCAGCCGATCCCCCTTCCAGAGAGCACACGTGGTCTGCATCCGAGCTGGAGCTACAATGAGTCCAACTCGGCTTTATGCCGAGTCCATAGCCTGCAGGAGACCACTCGGGCGAAATCCGAGTCGTTCCCTATAGGTGTGAGCCTGCTCGGTAAGGGGCCGACCTATTCCCCACGATCATCCAATATTTTCCATCAAAACGGTTAACGGAATCCCTACATTC